AAAGGCCAGGGCAAGGAGGCTAAGGGCACGCATTCATCTTTTCATGTCCTCTTCCTATTTCTTCTCAGTGAAAAAATGGGACATTTGAGATTTGGTGAAGGTGAGCACGTCCGATTTTAAGGTTTATGATCTTCAGTATTCCTAAAAGAGAATGTTCACTGTAGCATGCAAATTTTCCAGCTTTGCTTCTTTATTCAAGTGAAGATTCCCATTATGTAGCACAAAGCTTCAAAACACAAGGCTGACAAGTCTTCTCAGATAACGAGGGCTTCATCGTAAGTAGCAGAAACACATGGACAGAACACTAGGGCTCTAATCCCTTCCATATTGCTCCGACAGCTTCAAAACCTAGACATTTTTAATATGTGCCTGTTTAGAGCTGTGATGAAGGGGTAGGGATTTGGGATAGCTTCAGATCATCAACACTGAAGGAGATTTAGACAGCTCAAGGAAAATATGAGGTCAATGTCATTCAGACTCTCTCACGTTCCTTCCAGCCTTTCTATTGCTTTAATTACAAAGTGAATTGTGTTATGTTGAGAAGTTTAGTGATCCTCAAGAGGTGGATTTTTTTCTCATCTTAATATTGTTTATAGGAGTTCTAGTAGCAGAGTGCCTAAGGCACTTGACAGCTAACCAGAAGGCTAGGGGTTCAAACCCACCAGCCACTCCTTGGAAGGAAGGATGGGCAATCTACTTCCGCAGTGATACCACCTCGGAAACCCAAGGAGGGGTCGCTACGAGTCAAGTCTGACTCGATGGCACATAACAACAACAACAACAATATTGTTTATGTCCTCTACTAATGTGCTGTAGATACTCAGCAATTTTTAGCTGTACTAGACTGGAAAAGATGTGTTTTGGAGACTCAAGTAAAAGTTCAAATTCTGGTTTTGCCAGCTTCTACTTATGTGATTTCATGTCTGAACCTGCTTCCTCTGTATGGTTTCAGAATACTGAAAACACCATAGACTGCAGAAGAATGAACAGATCTGTCCTAGATGAAGTGCAGGGGGAATGCCCTTTCAAAGCGAGAATGGCCAGACTTTGTCTCACCTACTTTGGTCTTTTTGTCATAAGAGACCATTCCTTGAAGAAAGATATTGTGTTTGGTAAATTAGAGGGTCAATAAGTAAGGGGGAGACCCTCAGTGAGACAGATTGACACAGTGGCTGTAATGATGGGCTCCTACACAGTAAAGATTGTGAGGATGATGCAGGACTGGGCAGTGTTCATTTTGTTGCACACAGGGTCACTATGACATGGAGCTGACTTAACAGCACCTAACAATGACAGCAACAGTATAGTTGCTCCTCTCAGAATTCCTGTGGGAATGGACTAAGGTAGTCTATGTAAATAATTTAAAGCCACTAGGTGATAAATGGAAGGAACTCTGGTGGTGCAGTGGTTAAGGCAAGTGGCTGCTAACTAAAACACTGGTGATTCAAACCTACCAGCCACTCCATGGAGGAAAGGTAAGATGGTCTGCTTCCGTAAATATTTAAGCCTTGGAAACCCAATGGGGGTCACTATGAGTCAGAATTGACTCATTGACAGTGAGTTTGGTTTTTTTGAGAGACGATACTGTATGGTCAGTAACTGCAACTCCCCATCTTGGGGACCCCATCTTGTTTAGCCACACTTACAAAAATGACACCCCATTTTCTTTCTTTCTCTCTGTCATGTCCAACTCTGCTCTCCTCTGTCAGGTATTAACCCATCCTTAGAATGGCTTTAGGCAATAAAAGTTTCCTAACCAGAAAGGTCTTATTGGAGCACACACAGGTGGTCTCGTAAAGCACTCCCTGGGACCCCATCCTGAGCAGCCCGGCACCACTGAGTCTTAAACTGGTCCCACAGCCTTCCAGTCCCAGTTATGTGGACCCCAGCCCCAATTCCTCAGACTCAGGTATAAATATTCCCCCAAAAGATGGGAGAGTTTAGCAGACATCTTGGATCCAGCCCAGCCCACCACCACTGGATGTTGAACTGCTAGCAATGTTTGTAAGCCTGCTTTCTTTCATCTTTTGTCTTATGAATCCTTTCTCTCCTGATTCTCTTTTGCTCCTATTCTGAGTAAACATTCATGCCAGTAACTATACCTCTGGGTAAATTCTTTCCTCTCTCTGAACCTACTCAGGGGGAGGTTTCATCCTCCCTGGGAAATTCCCCTGACAATACATAAAGTCTGTGGGTGTTGCGAAGGATTAAGCACTCAGCTATTAACCAAAAGACTGATAGTTCAAACTTACCCAGCGATGCCTTGGAAGAAAGGTCTGGTAATCTACTTCTGAAAGGTCACAGTCATGAAAACGCAATTCTACTCTGTAACACACGAGGTTGCCTGAGTCAGGTTAGCAGCTGAATATTTAACTGTTTGTGCCACCCTGGGAAGGAATAGATGTGGATATATTTCTGGATAGATGAGTCCCTTGCTTTCTGAACTCTGTTATCTGAAATCCAGAAACTAAATAGATTTAGATTACATGGTATCCCTCGTTATCTAAACTCACCACTGGAATTTTTGCTATATAAGTTCAAGGTAAAGTAGGTGTTAATCAATTGGGATAATTCTACAGATTTCTTGGCTCCATCACAGATACACTAAACAAAATGATCTAGAATTAGATTCTAGTAATCTGCATTTCAATATTATCTCAGAGTGATTCTTTGGAGCTCTAATGTCTGAGAACCACAGCTCTATGCTTTGCATGAGAATCAGGGAGATCTTTTGATTCTGAGGACTGCAAATGTAACTCTGGGATCATACGCTTACGAGATCTACCAGCAAACCTCATAATAGAGTAATGTAGTGTGAGATCAATAGAGTATGCAGTGTGGGATCCTATAGCACCTAGGATAACAATCATGACATTAAGATAGAAGTGGTATCCTATTACTGGAAAAAGACTTCCAAATTTTCCTCCAACTTAGTCATATTCCCAATGCATGGATAAAATAGACCTCATGTGGGAAGGAATTGCTCAGAGAAATTCAAGAAAAGAAAATTAAACTTCAGAAAATATTCCCAGGTACTGGAAGTCCAATAAGATTCCTGGGTGGTGCAAACAGTGTGTGCTCAACTACTAACTGCAAGGTTGGCAGTTCAAATCCACAGCAGTGTTACAGAAGAAAGGCCCTGCAATCCACCTCTGTAAGATTGCAACCATTGAAAACTATGGAACGCAGTTCTACTCTGACACACGTGGAATTAGAATTGTCTTGGCAGTAGCTGGGTAAAGACCCTATAGACACTTTACAGGTGTGCATGCTACTTCTAATTGGCTAAGCCCAATGAAGACTTTACTTTTTCAGTGACCTTCTTGAATGCACTCTTGACTTCCTTGTTCCTCAGGCTGTAGACCAGAGGGTTCAGCATGGGGATGATGATGGTGTAGAACACAGATGCCATTTTGTCTGTGTCCATGGAATGACTGGAGCTTGGTCGTAAGTACATGAAGGTGATTGTCCCATATAACATGGAAACAGTGGTGAGGTGGGATGCACAGGTGGAAAAGGCCTTCTTTCGTCCCTCAGCCGAGTGTATTCTCAGGATAGCAATAAAAATAAACAGGTAAGAGTTCAAGATAACCAGGAGAGTAAAAACGACATTGCAAGCTGCCAAAGTGAAGAGCAGAATCTCATTTGTGTAGATATCAGAGCAGGAGAGAGCCAAGAGTGGGGGGATGTCACAGAAAAAGTGATTAACCACATTGGAATGACAGAAGGAGAGGCAGAAAGTGAAGGCGACATGGATGGAAGACTGCAAGAGCCCACAGATGTAGGAGCCGGTGACCAGCAGAGCACACACAGTACTTGTCATGGTGGTAGTATAATGCAGGGGTTTACACACTGCTGCATGGCGGTCAAAGGCCATCGAGGCCAGAAGTAAACTTTCAATAATGGCAAAGGCTACAAAGAAGAACATCTGGGCAGCGCATGCATTGTAGGAAATGATCTTATCTCCCGTAAGAAACCCTATCATCACCTTGGGAGTGACTGCCGAGCTATAAACACAGTCCACCAGGGAGAGATGACTGAGGAAAAAGTACATGGGAGTATGGAGACGAGAGTCTAATAGAATCAACACAATCATCCCTACATTCCCAACTATAGTGATGAAATAAATGAGAGTGAAAATGATAAATAAAGGGACCTGCAGCTCCAGGGCATCTGTTAATCCCGCAAGAATGAATTCAGTTACCTCTGAGATGTTCTCCATCCAAGTTGTTGGTGAATCACCATAGCAGGCACCTAGAAAACAGAAGATAATGCTATTTGAACTCTACCAGAGAAAGGAATTGCTGTCAGAGTCTCTTGCTCACATGCATATCTTCCTTCCAGAGCAGGATCCTGTGTGCAAGAAGCTGGACTGAGTTCTGGGTAGAAGTGGGTGAGTGAAGTCATTCATCTGGAGGTGGCATGAAAAGGCACTAGAATGTCTCTTGGTTGTCACAGGGGTCTAGATTATGACTTTGGCACATTCCACTTTGCTTGGTGTATGATATGCTTGGCAGTACACATTACACTACATCAGAAGGACTCTTTTTCACTGCTTGCCATATCTTGCAAGCATTCTTATCCACTGATATACTGTATTCCTTATAGCTATACAGAAAGTAATATATAAGAAACATTTGGCCAGTCACTGGTGTATAAGGAGCTCTGGTGGTGTAGTGCCTAAGGCATTGGACTGCTAACCAGAGGCTGGCGGTTCAAACCCACCAGCCAGTCCTAGGAAGGATGGTTAGGCAATCTACATCCATAGAGATACTACCTCAGAAACCCAAGGAGGGGTCGCTATGAGTCGGATCCAACTCAATGGCAGTGAGTTTGGGTTTTTTTTTTGTTTGTTTGTTTTACTTGTGTAAAATGCTGACAGGTCCTGTCAAATACATTCCCCATCTGTTGGGATCCCTCACCAACTTACTCGTCACAGCTGAAGATACACAGTAACTTGGGGCTCTAATTTCGGAATCCCAGACTTTTCTCTCTAATCCATTAAAGCCATTAACAGGATGCTTCACTTCAACCATTGGGCCCTGAAGCAACTTTAGCAATTGCCTGTATCACCTTCGTGTGTTCGCGTCTTTCAGTAACTTTACAATGAAATGAACAGTTTTGCCAAAGCTAGAGGCAAAACTTTAGGTATTTTCTCTTCACATTGAAATCTTTATTTTTCTCATAGGCTGCCGTTTCCCATCTGCCAACATCACCTATGCTTTATTTGTGAGGGGGAGGAGCAGGGAGAGGTGGAAGAGTTACCATTATGTTCCGCTAGAGACTAGGACAGGAGGACCTGGACGGTGCAGACAGTTATCATGCTTGGGTACTAACTGAAAAGTTGGGGATTTGACTCTGCCCGGAGGTCCCTCAGAAGAAACGTAGACATTGACTTCTGAAAAATAAGCCACTGAAAGCCCCATGGGGCACATTTCTACTCTGACACATAGGGGGTTGCCACAGGTGAGAATTGACTCATCGATGAACGGTTCTTCAGAGGCCCTGCGTTCCCCAGCAAACCACACATCTCCTGCATGTATCATGTGCTCATCTCCAGAGGCCGCTTAGCTGACAGCTAATTGTGGCTGTGGTGATTATAATATGAGAGGCTGTTTCAACACAAAAGCCACTCCTGGTCCTTGAATCTCTGGTTACTTTCATTCTCCTTGATTAACAGTCCTTCACATTCAAGGCAGGATATAATATGACCCTTGTTTTTAGGATAACCTAGATCCAGCTGTGCACAAACAAGTATGTTAGTCCTAATGTATTGTTAGAATACCAGCATGCCAAGGTACTTTGAGCAGAAAATACACACTTTAAACCCAATTTAGGGATACAGGAAGGCTTTCTGGAAATGATAATGTCTGACCTGTGGCTTGGAGACTGAAGAAATAAGATTGATGATCAGTTATTATAATAGCAAACACTTTATAGCACTTACTACTTGCTAGGAGCTCTGGTAGCATAGTGGCTAAGGCACTTGACTGCTAACCAGAAGGCTGGCGGTTCAAACCCACCAGCCACTCCTCAGAAGGAAGGTTGGGCAATCTACTTCCGTAGTGATACTGCCTCGGCAACCCAAGGAGGGGTCGGTATGAGTTGTGTCCCACTCGACAGCACATAACAACAACAACAACGTGCTAGAAAACTATTGTAAGCTGTTCATGTACATTAACTCATATATACAATTAGCAACTCTGTGAGGCAGGTACTATTATTCCCTTTTGCTTTGAAGGGAAGGGAGGCTTAAGGAGGTAAATACTTCCTTAAGTAAGAAAGCTATTGGTAGAACTGGGATTTGAATCCAAGAAACATAGTCTAAAATCCATCATATTCAACACTCATCTCAAAATAGTGGGTCAAGTTAACTAACCTTTCTGTGCTTCCACATCTTCCAAATGGGCATAACAGTCTTTCCTTTTGAAAGTGGATGAATGCAATAACTTATACTATAGCAAGACTCAATAGTTTCAGCTATTATTTTTACTGCTACTACTATTAATACTGTAATACTAGACAGAGGAAATATAATGGATAAAGGAATAAGTTAATAAGCACAATGGTATAAACAGTAAACTATCAGCAGATAAGTGTTCTTCATTAGTGAGACTCACTGCGTAACCAAAATCTCAATTAGGGGTCAATGCACAACAGTAATTAGTAGTAATCAGACAGATGGGATTGAACCCTAAGAGAAATGGTTGGAGGAAGTAATGTGCTAGATTATAGATACAATATAACCAGTTAGAAGAAGAGCCTAGACCGTTTGACCAAGTATAATACAAGGGAATACTTTTTCCATTGTACAAAGAGCCATCACCCACTGATTAGGAACTTAGATGAGCTATGGCTTTGGGAATATATGTTCACTCCTTGCATCTCAGTTTCATTCTCTGTGAAATATTAAGTTCATATAATACCTGCATACCTATTTCACTGGGTTGTAAAGATTAAATTAAGATATTGTAGGCATAAAAAGAGACACGAATCCTACTAACACAATGCCTGGCATACAGAAGCATTCAGTGCTTGTTGCCTTTCTCTTTTTTTGTTTCTCTCCTAGATAACTTTTCAAATATGTCAAATTCCATGCCAGGACCTTGTATTACAAAATGAATATCATAATTCCTGACTCTTTAATGAGAGTAGAGACAGCAAGCTCTTCAAATCATTCCCCAAAATGTGATAAGTGCTCTAATAAAAATATCTCGTGTTATAAAATCCGCAGGGGAGTGCCAAGAATTTGCCAGAACCTCCTACCGACCATGAAGTTACTTCCTGGCTTATCAGTTCTTAGAGGTCTATGCTTGTTGGAATTTCCTGACTGAGCCCAAACACATAAACATATGCATCTGTTTACATTCTCCCATTGAGTTTCTGAGGCTATAAATCTTTATGGAAGTAGATTGCCCCATCTTTCTTCCAGGGAGCAGCTTTTTTGTGCTTGAACCACTGACCTTGTTAGCAGCCAAATGTTCTGGTTAGTAGCCAAATGACTTATATAAAGGGACACGTAAATCTAGGGGTTCAGAGGTGTAGAGATGACAATAGAATAGCAGTACAAAACACAAGACCAATTTTAATCCTACATTTATTGGTAACAAGCTGGGTGGGCATAGGCTTGCCGCTGACTTGATTTTAATTCACAAAATAAAATGCTTTGTCCAACTCCTTTCTAGGGTGCTATAATGTTCTGATCTTACAATGAATATGAAAGTTATTTGAAAAGTATAAGACAGTAATTATTTTTTTAAATCAGACAATTTGAGCCCTTCCTTCTTGGTTATGCAGGATATTCAGCCAATAAAACTGAAAATCCAAACTCTGATGTTACCAAAACAAATGGCTCAAAAACTGGGATCCACAAATAGATGTTGGCAGTGTTGCAACTTTTGAAATTCAGAAAGAGAGGAATGATATTTGCCTTACCACTCTTACAGCAGGAGCTCTGGTGGTGTAGTGCCTAAGGCATTTGACTGCTAACCAGAAGGCTGGCGGTTCAAACCCACCAGCCACTCCTTGGAAGCAAGATTGGGCAATCTACTTCTGTAGTGATATTGCCTCAGAAACCCAAGGAGGGGTCACTATGCCTCAGATCTGACTCCAGGGCAAGGGATTTTTGAGGTTTTTACTCTTATAGCACATTTTAAATCAAATGCAGTTAAGAGACCCTATCTTCCTGCCTTTGAGTAAAAACTCCTCTCATTCCAACCATTTATTTATATGAGGACATGTGATAACAATGAGCATGTAAATCTGCATGACGGAGAGTAGTGTGCTAGAGTGGAAAGAGCAACGGACTAGGAGTAAAGGAACGACCAGCTAACAGAGTGTCTTTGGTTAACTTCCATTTTCCTTATTTGTAAAATAAAATGATAGAATCCCTTCAACCTTTAACCAGCTATGATTTTATATTTTCCGACTACTTACTTGTTTTTTAGGAATGGGCCAATGAAGCTCCAGAGGTGCGGACACAGAACACCGCCATACACAGGTCGTTGACCAGAAGTCCACAACCAGGAAAGCATTATGGCGGAGGAACTCCTTCCCTACCTCTGCAGCTCTAGGTTGTGCGGTTGAATCTGAGCTTGTGCTCTTGCAAATGAGAAGGCAGAGACAGCGACTTGTTTACACAAGTCTCCAGGGAAACATAGTGGGTGGATATCTCAGGAGGCTCCTGATCCCGGGCTGGCTCCCCTAACCTGACCTCAGCTGGATATATCAGAAACTAATGTTTGCATTTTGGCGGGAAGAGCTTATGAAGACACAAGGGAATGGAAGCTTAGGTGTAAGAGCCTCCAATAAACACTGAAAAACACCACAGCCAACTTTAAAAATTTTTTTAAAATTTTTAAAAAATCATTGAGATCTATGGCTTAGGTGATGCCAAGAGCTCACATAAGCTTTCTTGTATCTAACTCTTTCTTACAGACCTGCACAATCTCTCCAGAATGAAAATCTTTCTACTTTGCTTATTTATTTACTAAATACCCACATGACTTACTACTGTGCAGCTACAGTTTGGATATTTTCTCTTCTCTCTTTTACAGCTAAACTGTTGAATCCTTTCTTTCTTCTGTACAATTACCTCTGACCCCAAAATTAAAAATTGTCACTTCCTTAAGAGGGAATTATCACTCCTTTAAGATTTATTTTTTTAATTTTTGCTGCTGTTTGAAATACATACAGCAAAACATGCACAAATTCATAATTTTC